ATGTGAAACACTGTAATCAAACACAACACTGAATGTGAAACATACCTATTATCAAACACAACACTGAATGTGAAACATACCTATTATCAAACACAACACTGAATGTGAAACATACCTATAATCAAAGCACAACACTGAATGTGAAACATACCTATTATCAAACACAACACTGAATGTGAAACATACCTATAATCAAAGCACAACACTGAATGTGAAACATACCTATTATCAAACACAACACTGAATGTGAAACACTGTAATCAAACACAACACTGAATGTGAAACACTGTAATCAAACACAACACTGAATGTGAAACATACCTATTATCAAACACAACACTGAATGTGAAACATACATGTTATCAAACACAACACTGAATGTGAAAGATACCTATTATCAAACATAACACTGAATGTGAAACATACCTATTATCAAAGCACATCACTGAATATGAAACATACCTATTATCAAACACAACACTTAATGTGAAACATACCTATTATCAAACACAACACTGAATGTGAAACATGAATGTTATCAAACACAACACTGAATATGAAACATGAATGTTATCAAACACAACACTGAATGTGAAACATACCTGTTATCAAGGACAACACTGAATGTGAAACATACCTGTTATCAAACACATCACTGAATGTGAAACATACTTATTATCAAACACAACACTGAATGTGAAACATACCTATTATCAAATACAACACTGAATGTGAAACATGAATGTTATCAAACACAACACTGAATGTGAGACACTGTAATCAAACACAACACTGAATGTGAAACATGCCTATTATCAAACACAACACTGAATGTGAAACATACCTATTATCAAACATAAAACTGAATATGAAACATGCCTATTATCAAACACAACACTGAATGTGAAACATACCTATTATCAAACATAACACTGAATGTGAAACATACCTGTTATCAAACACAACACTGAATGTGAAACATGCATGTTATCAAACACAACACTGAATGTGAAACATACCTATTATCAAACATAACACTGAATGTGAAACATACCTATTCTCAAAGCACAACACTGAATGTGAAACATGCATGTTATCAAACACAACACTGAATGTGAAACATACTTATTATCAAACACAACACTGAATGTGAAACATACCTATTATCAAACATAACACTGAATGTGAAACATACCTATTATCAAAGCACATCACTGAATATGAAACATACCTATTATCAAACACAACACTGAATGTGAAACATACCTATTATCAAACATAACACTGAATGTGAAACATACCTATTATCAAAGCACATCACTGAATATGAAACATACCTATTATCAAACACAACACTGAATGTGAAACATACCTATTATCAAACATAACACTGAATGTGAAACATGCATGTTATCAAACACAACACTGAATGTGAAACATACCTATTATCAAACACAACACTGAATGTGAAACATACCTATTATCAAAGCACATCACTGAATATGAAACATACCTATTATCAAACACAACACTGAATGTGAAACATACCTATTATCAAACACAACACTGAATGTGAAACATGAATGTTATCAAACACAACACTGAATGTGAGACACTGTAATCAAATACAACACTGAATATGAAACATACCTGTTATCAAAGACAACACTGAATGTGAAACATACCTGTTATCAAACACATCACTGAATGTGAATCATACGTATTATCAAACACAACACTGAATGTGAAACATACCTATTATCAAACACAACACTGAATGTGAAACATACCTATTATCAAACATAACACTGAATGTGAAACATACCTATTATCAAACACAACAATGAATGTGAAACAAACCTATTATCAAACACAACACTGAATGTGAAGCATACCTATTATCAAACACAACACTGAAGGTAAAACATACCTGTTATCAAACACAACACTGAATGTGAAACATACCTATTATCAAACACAACACTGAATGTGAAACATACCTATTATCAAACACATCACTGAATGTGAAACATGCATGTTATCAAACACAACACTGAATGTGAAACATACCTATTATCAAACATAACACTGAATGAGAAACATGCCTTTTATCAAACACATCACTGAATGTGAAACATACCTATTATCGAAGCACAACACTGAATGTGAAACATATCTATTATCAAACACAACACTGACTGTGAAACATACCTATTATCAAACACAACTCTAAATGTGAATCATACCTATTATCAAACACAACAGTGAATGTGAAACATACCTATTATCAAACACAACACTGAATGTGAAACATACCTATTATCAATGTTATCATGATTATACTGAATCTACACTAAATCATGTTGTTAATCAGACAGTTTTAATGAACAAGTATTTGTAATAATTATATCAAGTGGGGTCTCATTTTACTCATATTATTGTTCTGAATCAGAAAATATTACTCCTTTTCATGTTTCTTTAAAAAAATTATTTTATTAAAATGAATGATTATACTGAATCTACACTAAATCCTGATGTTAATTAGACAGGTTTAATAAACAAATATGTGTAAGAATCATATAAAGTGGGGTCTCATTTTACTTGTTTTGTTCTTCTGAATCCATTGATATAATTATTTTACACATTTCTTGAAAAAAATTATTTTTTAAGATATCAGGTTTAATGGAAGTTTTGACATTTCACAACAAAAACATGTTTATTTGTTGTTTATATAGAATATAAATACAAGTGTGACTGGTCATTTTATTGAGTTTTGACCACTGATTCATGTGATATATATTTTGTTTATATTTATTACACAACATTGTCCAGTTTATCAGACAAGTTTTGATGTCAGTTGTATTATTCCAGGTTTATGGACGGACAGCATTAATGGTGGCTGCCTGGGAAGGACACCTGGAGGTCTGTCGACTTCTCATTGATACAGGATGTAAGATCGACACCACAGATACAGTATGTTATCTACTTAGTCTGATCACATTACTATTAATCAACACAAAATCATGTTGTTAATGAGACAGGTTTAATGAACAAATATTTGTAATAATTATATCAAGTGGGGTCTCATTTTACTCATATTATTGTTCTGAATCAGAAAATATTACTCCTTTTCATGTTTCTTTAAAAAAATTATTTTATTAAAATGAATGATTACACTGAATCTACACTAAATCCTGTTGTTAATTAGACAGTTTTAATGAACAAATATGTGTAAGAATCATATAAAGTTGGGTCTCATTTTGCTTGTTTTGTTCTACTGAATCCATTGATATAATTATTTTACACATTTCATGAAAAAAAAAATTTTTTTTAAGATATCAGGTTTAATGGAAGTTTTGACATTTCACAACAAAACATGTTTATTTATTGTTTATATAGAATATAAATACAAGTGTGACTGGTCATTTTATTCAGTTTTGACCACTGATTCATGTGATATATATTTTGTTTATATTTATTACACAACATTGTCCAGTTTATCAGACAAGTTTTGATGTCAGTTGTATTATTCCAGAGAGATGGAGAGACAGCATTAATGTGGGCTGCCAGGAGAGGACACCTGGAAGTCTGTAGACTTCTCATTGATACAGGATGTAAGATCGACACCACAGAAGTATGTTATCTACTTAGTCTGATCACATTACTATTAATCAACACAAAATCATGTTGTTAATGAGACAGGTTTAATGAACAAATATTTGTAATAACTATATCAAGTGGGGTCTCATTTTACTCATATTATTGTTCTGAATCAGAAAATATAACTTTTTTTTATGTTTCTTTAAAATTTTTTTTTTATTAAAATGAAAGATTATACTGAATCTACACTAAATCCTGATGTTAATAAGACAGTTTTAATGAACAAATATTTGTAAGAATCATATAAAGTGGGGTCTCATTTTACTTGTTTTGTTCTACTGAATCCATTGATATAATTATTTTACACATTTCTTGAAAAAAAAATTTTTTTTAAGATATCAGGTTTAATGGAAGTTTTGACATTTCACAACAAAACATGTTTATTTGTTGTTTATATACAATATAAATACAAGTGTGACTGGTCATTTTATTCAGTTTTGACCACTGATTCATGTGATATATATTTTGTTTATATTTATTACACAACATTGTCCAGTTTATCAGACAAGTTTTGATGTCGGTTGTATTATTCCAGGTTGATGGATGGACAGCATTAATGTTTGCTGCCAGTGGAGGACACCTGGAGGTCTGTCGACTTCTCATTGATACAGGATGTAAGATCGACACCACAACAGTATGTTATCTACTTAGTCTGATCACATTACTATTAATCTACAGAAAATCATGTTGTTAATTAGACAGGTTTAATGAACAAATATTTGTAATAATTATATCAAGTGGGGTCTCATTTTACTCATATTATTGTTCTGAATCAGAAAATATTACTCTTTTTCATGTTTCTTTAAAAAAATTATTTTATTAAAATGAATGATTATACTGAATCTACACTAAATCCTGATGTTAATTAGACAGGTTTAATGAATAAATATGTGTAAGAATCATATAAAGTGGGGTCTCATTTTACTTGTTTTGTTCTACTGAATCCATTGATATAATTATTTTACACATTTCTTGAAAAATTTTTTTTTTTAAGATATCAGGTTTAATGGAAGTTTTGACATTTCACAACAAAACACGTTTATTTATTGTTTATATACAATATAAATACAAGTGTGACTGGTCATTTTATTCAGTTTTGACCACTGATTCATGTGATATATATTTTGTTTATATTTATTACACAACATTGTCCAGTTTATCAGACCAGTTTTAATGTCAGTTGTAGGATATGTTGTATATTATTGATATTGATAACAAAGTATTGTCCATAATATTTACATGTTATTTGGTTATATTATAGGATGAAGGATACACAGCTTTACATCGGGCTGCTGAGTGGGGATATCTACAGATCACAAGATGTCTAGTAGAACAAGGAGGTGCCAGTCCCTTGGTTACAACACGTCGGGTAATATTTTATAGTATATACCCAGTGTTCAACTATTAAGTAATGAATCACTAAAATGATGTATGAGATATATTTGGTCAAATTGATTCTTTTTCAAGGCAATAGTCAAAAGTCATCTTATCCTTTAAATTTAACTTAAGATATGAAAAAGTTTTATGGAGGGTGTGGATACAGACATAGGAGGGTGTGGATAGGGTATACAGATATAGGAGGGTGTATATGGGGTATACACATACAGGAGGGTGAGGATGGGGTATACACATATAGGATGGTGTGGATGGGGTATACACATATAGGAGGGTGTGGATGGGGTATAGAGGTTTAGGAGGGTGTGAAGGGGTAATACAGATATAGGAGGGGTAGATGGGGTATACACATATAGAAGGGTGTGGATGGGGTATAGACATATAGGAGGGTGTGGATGGGGTATACACATATAGGAGAGTGTGAATGGAATATACAGGAATAGGAAGGTGTGGATGGGGTATACACATATAGGAGGGTGTGGATGGGGTATAGAGGTTGAGAAGGGTGTGGAGGGGTAATACAGATATAGGAGGGGATGGATAGGGTATACACCTATAGGAAGGTGTGGATCGGGTATACACATATAGGAGGGTGTGGACGGGGTATAGAGGTTGAGTAGGGTGTGGAGGGGTAATACAGATATAGGAGGGTATGGATAGGGTATACACCTATAGGAAGATGTGGATCGGGTATACACATATAGGAGGGTGTGGACGGGGTATAGAGGTTGAGAAGGGTGTGGAGGGGTAATACAGATATAGGAGGGTATGGATAGGGTATACACCTATAGGAAGATGTGGATCGGGTATACACATATAGGAGGGTGTGGACGGGGTATAGAGGTTAAGAAGGGTGTGGAGGGGTAATACAGATACAGGAGGGTGTGGATTGGATATACTGATATAGGAGGGTGTGGATGGGGAATACTGATATAGGAAAGAGTGGATGGGTAATACAGATATAGGAGTGTGTGGATGGGGTATACAGATAAAGAAGGGTGTGGATTGGGTAGGGTATAGATGGGGTATACAGATATAGGAGGATGGGGATTGGGTATACAGATATAGAGAAAAAGTAGTATTACATTTTCCCGGCTTTAGGTTGGCCTTTTGTGTACCCAAGGCAGGTGAAGGAAGTCAACTTAGAAGCGCTGTGATTAGATGTAAGAGTACAATATATATTTTTATGCCCCCACCGTAGCGGAGGGGGCATTAAGTTTTACCCTTGTCCGTCTGTACGTACGTACGTACATATGTCCGTCCGTACGTCCCAAAATTGGTTTCTGTTCTCTAACTTGAGTTTGCCTTAACCAAATGTTATGAAACTCATACACAATGCTAATTACCACAAAACTGAGATCAAGTTTGAATTTTGGTGGCGTCACTTTAACCGTTCTAGAGTTATGCCCCTTTATAAATGGAAATGCAAAATTTTTAGTTTCTGTTCTCTAACTTAAGTTTGCCTCAACCAAATGTTATGAAACTTATAACAATGCTTATTACCAATAAATTCAGATCAAGTTTGAATTTTGGTAGCGTCACTCTAACCGTTCTAGAGTTATGCCCCTTTATATAAATGGAAAAATTACAAAAATTTTAGTTTCCGTTCTCTTACTTGAGTTTGCTTCAACCAAATGTTATGAAACTTATACACAATGCTTATTATCTCAAAAAACAGATTAAGTTTGAATTTTAGTGTCGTCACTTTAACCATTCTAGAGTTATGCCACTTTATAAATGGAAAAATTTGCAAAATTTTTAGTTTCCGTTCTCTAACTTAAGTTTGCCTCAACCAAATTTTATGAAACTCATACACAATGCTAATTACCACAAAACTGAGATCAAGTTTGAATTTTGGTGGCGTCACTTTAACCGTTCTAGAGTTATGCCCTTTATAAATGGAAATGCAAAATTTTTAGTTTCTGTTCTCTAACTTAAGTTTGCCTCAACCAAATGTTATGAAACTTATAACAATGCTTATTACCACAAAATAAAGATCAAGTTTGAATTTTGGTGGGGTCACTTTAACCATTCTCCAGTTATGCCCTTTATAAATGGAAAAAATGCAAAATTTTTAGTAAAACACAGATCAAGTTTGAATGTTGGTGGCGTCACTTTTACTGTTCTAGAGTTATACCCCTTTATAAATGGAAAAATTGCAAAATTTTTATTTTTTTCTAAATATCAATTAATTTTTGAAATTGGAGTTATCTTCCTTTGTCCATGATTATAGTTGAATCAACTACAATCAATGCTTTATACAAAGCAATGTTTAATTTTTACTTCCACTGATAAAACACAGGTCAAGTTGAATTTGGGTAGTGTCACTTTAACCATTATTGAGTTATGCCCCTTTGTAAATCGAAAGATTGCAAAATTTTTAGTTTCCATTCTGTAACTTAAGTTTGCCCCAACCAAACATTATGAAACCTATACACAATATTCATTACCACAAAACTAAGATCAAGTACAAATTTTTTGTTTCCGTTATCGAACTTTAGAGGGTTTGGATGGGAAATACAGATATAGGAGGGTTTAAATGGGGTATACAGATATAGGAGGGTTTGGATGGGGTATACAGATATAGGAGGGTTTAAATGGGTTATACAGATATAGGAGGGTGTGGATGTGTAATACAGATATAGGAGGGTTTGAATGGAGTATACAGATATAGGAGGGTTTGGATGGGTAGAATTAATGAATAGAAAAGAATTGGGTACAAAAATATAAAAAATAGAGAATAATATTGGAGTGTTAAAAATATAAAGAACTGTGAATAATGTGCCCACAAAATTAGAAAAGATAGTTAAAAATGAAAACCCCCAAAGTCCTCCACACCTCATGTAGACATAAGGATGCATTTACCAATCTTCAGACTGCAAAGAAAATTACAGGACCAAATGGTGACAGATGGAACTTTTATTCTGATTCTTTAAAAAAAAGAGTTAAAAGCCTATTTAAAGTCTTCACAAATTTGTGAAAAATAATCGAAATGTCGTCTCATGAGTTATATACCGGTATATATGGATAGCATCTGTTAAGATTAAATAAATCATCACTCAGCTGCTACTGGTCTTACTAATTGTAAGATATTATGTGTTACAGAAGCCTTCTTTGTAACAGGTAAAAAGCAATATAAAGATTTGTCTGTATTTCAGGGTCTGACGCCATACGATCTAGCAGCAAAATATAAATCTCTCCAGTATAAAGAAGTGATGGAATACTTACAGGTACATATAGTGATAGATATGGTGTTGAATTACAAACGCTTACACTTAGAATGAATCAAGTAGAAAATAAGTTACAAAATATAAAGAAATATAAAACTCAGAAATCAAATGCCGCAAAACTAAAATACTTCAGGAGAGAAATCTTAAAACATTAGTTTGGAACAATCAATTTAAATTTCTAATGCAATTATTTGTTATCACCATTTTGATTGGACAACATCATATATTTGAGGCGCTAAATCCACACTTAACAAGCTTTTAATTAAGCTTAGTTGTCATTTTTCAATTCAGGAATTTAATATTATGTGATTTCTTCAATATTCAACAAAATTAGCAGATGTCTTTTATTTCATATTCCAGAGCGAACAAGACGAGAGCAAGTTTTCTTAACTTTTGATAATTAATTGTTTTTGGTTTTTGATTTGGAGATGTACGGCGGCGGGCGGCTGCCAAACAGTGTCTGTTCATTAACATGAAAACGCTTTGACGAAATCTTTTCAAATTAAGATATGTTGTTTCCTGTGACTAAATGAAGGTCAAGTTCAATTTTCACGATTTTAGCTTTTTTCGTTGTTGAGTTGTAGACCTTTCAGAAACAAAAGTGATTTTTACTATATGAATTTGAGTTATTTCCCTTTGAACAGAAATGGTATAATTAATAATCAATTTCTATGTCATTTGGTCTCTTGTTTATTTTGAGTTATTTCCCTTTGAACAGGAATGATTTAATTAATAATTATCTCATCAAAAATTGAATTCTTGGGGTTCTTTAATATGCTGATTCTAACAATGTACTTAGATTTGGGATATTGGACCATAATAGGTAAATGTCCAATTTCAAATTTTTCATTTCTTTGACCACATTCATTTTGTGTCATAAACCTATGCTGTGTCAAATACTCATTTTTTTATTTTGTATAGAATGCATAGAAATGGAGATAACTGTATTGTATAACTATTTTTAGCTTGGCCTACAATTAACTTTGTCCTATTTTAGCAAATATTCATTTACGTAGCTAACTACTATATCAGTAGCCTTTTTACACTCAGGTTATGAGATTGAGTCCCTCACATGGCAGGTCCTTTGACTTCTTAAATTCACGCAAGTAATCAGTTTTCCACACTATTTGTTGTTATGCTTACAGATGTTGATTTGATATTTGGTATACAGTTTTAGGTTTACCATGACAAATTATAGAACAATTTCTGATTTTGTTCCGGTCTGAAATTTTGTGCAGAGTTATGGTCCTTTGACTTAGACAATTCAGGAAAGTAATCAGTTTTCAGCATTTTTTATACACATTTGGTTTCCGACAATTACTATAGTTTCCGGACAATAACTTGTGTTTTAGTGTATGGATCTCTCTAAAATTGTACTACAAGGTTCCATACGACAAAGGAAAGGCTGGGAAGGAGTTAGTTTGGGGGGATTTTTTTTTTCAATTTTTTTGGGGGTTCATATTTTTTTCTTCAAAATTATTGAAATTTCAAATTTTTTGAAAAGCTTCAAGAAGAAATCTTCAATTGCACAATATTGCAAAATAGCACAGTATTGCGCAACAGCACAGTATTGGGCAATATCACAGTATTGCACAACAGCACAGTATTGTGCAATAGCACAGTATTGAGCAATATCACAGTATTGTGCAATAGCAAGAAATCTTCAATTGCACAGTATTTGGGCAATAGCAAGAAATCTTTAATTGCACAGTATTGCGCAAAATCACAGTATTGCGCACACAGTATTGCGCAATAGCAAGAAATCTTCAGTTGCACAGTATTGCACAATAGCATAGGTATTGCACAATAGTACAGTATTGCGCAATAGCAAGAAATCTTCAATTGCACAGTATTGCAGAATAGCAGGAAATCTTCAATTGAAAATAAAGACAAATCTTTTAACCAATTTCAATGGGATTAATTTTAAAGTCTTTAATTTTTTGGTTCTAACCTTGTATTACTATTTTGGATATTGAGCCCCATTTTTAAATTGGTCTACATTGAGGTCAAAAGGGTCCAAAATTAAACTTTGTTTGATTTCATCCAAATTTGTATTATTGCTGTTCTTTAATATGCAGACTAACCGTGCATTTAGATTTTTAATTTTTGGGCCAGCCGTCTTCAAATTGGTCCATATTAAGGTCCAAAGGGTCCCAAAGTAAACTTTAGTTTTAATTTCAAAAAAGAAATGAATTCTAGGGGTTCTTTGATTTGCTGAATTTAAGCGTGTATTAGGATTTTTGATTTTGGGCACAGTATTCAAGTTGGTTAAAATTGAATTATTATATGCCCAATCAAACAGTGTTTTAGATTTTAGATTTTGGGCATGTTTTCAAAGTTGGTCCAAATTGTGTTCCAAAATTAAACTTTGTTTGATTTCATCAAAAATTGAATTATCAGTGCTCTTTGGTTTGCCCAATCTTACAATATATTATCCCATTTGAATTACCTCCCTTGCACTGCTTTCAAATTATGTATAAAGTAATGGTTAATGAACAATTAAGACAATTTAAAAGCAGTTTAAGGGAGGTAATCCAAATACAACGTTTTGATTACCTCCCTTACACTGCTTTTCATGTTTAAAGAAATGCATGTTTATAAAGGAAGACCAGTAAAAATATCTTCAAATGTTGCATCTTTTTTTTTTTTTTACAAAAAAATCCAACATATGAAAGATTTGACACCATATTTTAAATTCTATTATAAAATAGATTAAGTTAGCACTATGGTAAATTTAAATGGGTAATTATGGTTGCAAACTCCATTGGAAATTTGAATTGAGATTATGACCATATATGGAGGGAAAGAATTTTTTTTTTTTGAGGGGGGGCTGGTTAATACACAACAGCATAGTGTATTGCACAAAAGCAAAAAAAAAAGGGGGGATAAATTTTTAATTTTTTTATTGGGGGGGGGGGGCAATTCGCAACAGCAAAGTGTATTGCACAAAAGCAAAAAATTGAATATAAATTCAATTCATGTAACCGATTCTATGTTCTTTGACTACAGTTATTCTGTGTCAGAAACCTTTTATGTTTCAAATATTTAATTACAATCAAAATTCAGACCTGTATCAAGCGCGAATATTGCGACCATTTTTGCCCCAACTATTCAGGGTTGGATCTCTGTGGTTGTATCCAGCTGCGCTCGGCGAAGCAATTTATTTTGCGTTCGTATAATGTAATGATGTTGGCCTCTGCGTCATCGTCCGAAGACACATTTGGTTTCCAGACAATAACAGGGACTGCGCTGGGCTTCTCTAATGTCGCAAATTGCAATTTTTTTTTTTATCCGGCGACAAAATATGGCTGCTGTCGATTTTTCTGGCGTCAACATTTCCCTATGTCAAAATGTTTCATTTCTTGACTGTAACGATAATATTACCGATCTTCATTTACATTGGTAAAAGAAAAAAAATTTAATTTTAAGAAATTTTACCTGGCGACAAGCTTTTGGCTTTGTTTACGACCCCAAGTTAAGCAATGGTTACAACAGGTGTTATAATTAGTTGTTACAGGTAATCCGTCTATCAGATGGGTTATTAATGATCATCAACATTAATTCATTCAAATAGAATTGGTCAGTCGGCATTTGTCATTTCATTTGAAGAAATTTTCATACGGCAACACAATTTGCAACGTTTACCATAATTTCCTTAAGAAAACGTAATTGACAGAAAGATGAAAACCACAATAACTTGTTAAAACACATCATTTTACTTGTATTCCATAGAAAATGGTAAATTCAGACGTGATTTGTCTTTGCCTGCTCTCAATTTTTATACGAAAATAACAAAACTGGATGCCATTGTTGATTTTATTTACTTCTACTGAGTACTGTTTATAATCCTCCGAAGAAGGAGCACACCTGAATAAAGAAAGATAACTCAATTTGATTTTGTCCTAGTATTGAGATACCTACTAAAGATATGTCTACATACTTCTGACTTTAGAATTTATAGGTTTAGGTCTTTTGAGTTATGGGAAAAGTTAAGAGGGTCTTGGTAGCAGGATGGGTACGGTGCTTGGGTCATCATGTTCTGTATTCTTTATTTTTTATACAAATTTTTTGACTATTCTATCTAAACACCCATTATTCTCTTTTCTTCATTTAATTGCACATTTTCTCTATTCTGTAACATATACAGACCATAAGCTAATTATAAGGACAGGAACATTGATCAATAGAGTCATTAAATATGCATCCCATTAGTCACTGTTTGGAGACATAAACATTCAAAATAAAAACATACATTTGTGGAAAATCAGCTGCTTTGTTTTAATCTTTATTGTTATAATTTTATACAACCGCAAAAAAATTTTGCGGTCCTATATTGGTATGACGTTGGCATATTCGTCGTTGTCCAAGACACATTGGTTTTTGCACAATAACTTTAGTTTAAGTGATTAGATCTCTATGAAATTTTACCATAAGGTTCAATACCACAAAAGGAAGGTTGGGATTGATTTTGGGGGTTATGGTACCAACAGTTAAGGAATAAGGGGCCAAAAATAAACATTTTTGTAACTTCAAGACCATAACTTGTGTGTTAGTGTATGGATCTCTCTGACATTGTACCACAAGGTTCCATATCACAAAGGGAATGCTGGGATTGATTTTGGTAATTGCCTCAAAATTTGAGGAATAAGGGGCCAAAAAAGGGGCAAAAAACAAGCATTTTTCTAGTTTCATGACAATAACTTGTGTGTAAGTATATGGATCTTTCTGAAATTGTACTACAACGTTCCATATCACAAAGGGAAAGCTGGAATTGAGTTTGGGGGTAATTGCCCAAAACGTTTAGGAATAAGGGGCCAAAAAGGGGCCAAAATAAGCATTTTTCTAGTTTCCAGACAATAACTTGTGTTCAAGTGTATGGATCTCTCTCAAATTTTACTGCAAGGTATCATACCACAAAGGGAAGGCTGGGATTGATTTTGGGGGTAATTGCCTCAAAATTTTAGGAATAAGGGGAAAAAAAGGGAAAAAAAAACAAGCAT